TTTTAAGAAGGGAACGATAAAATGGTAAAGCCACAGTTGAACAGTTAGGTCAGGAGGCCCTAACCTAAACAAAGGCATGAAACCACATGCAAGGAAGTTCGACAAAAATATCTTAAAACTTGCGCATTAGACATGATTTATATGAGAGGCTGGGAGACCTAGGATTCAAAGATGTTGGGTGGACCCATTCAATGATGAGATGAATGAAAAGCTGAACAAAAAAGGGCGGTAGTCATGGTCTGTAAGTAGTACAGACACTACTGTTATATAATAATACAAGTCAATTCTAGAGATGGAGGGAGATCATCCCCAACAAAGTCTCCAGAAAAATTGTCAATGTATGTTTTCACCACACATAGAATTTTCACTTTTGATGGACTACGACATCAACTTATAATTATATCATCAATAGGGATGAAAATACTATCCTACGATGAATCCAATCCTGAAGTGATTATTTCACTACTCCATAAGACTACGAACCAATTTTTACCTTGTCCGGAAGGGGCATGCTTTATTTTAATTTTGGGTTCTGGCGTCTCTAAAGAGGCAAGCCCCGTTTAATTAATTATATCTCTGGAGTTGTGAACCTCCAAAAAAAAAAAACTCTCGATTAAAGTATTTGCCCATCTGCTTTATAATTTGAAGGTTGGTGTTTCAAGGTTAATGTTTTAGGAGTTTCAAATGGGACAATTTCAGAACTTGATAGGATTATTGATGGAATTCAAGGGCAGAAGGGTAGAGAGTGTTCCAATATCGGGGAGCCCAGTGGCCCTCCACCCTATTCTAATGCTTTGTTAAGGGGTATTCTTTTTTAACTAGAGTTAGAATTGCATATTTTATTAGAAAGAATTAGACTTACAGTCCAATGAGGATGTGTCTTAGAAAAGCCTAGTGAAAGGGATCATCCAACTCTAGGAGGGAGATGTATCCTAAAGAATAAGATTGATTGATTATTGAAGGGAATTAGATTTGATAGAGTTGGGATGAGGTGAGAGGAAATTTGATTGAATAGTATCAGTATGATTTGAGCTTTGACAGAATTTGTTGGGTTTGAGGATTTCAGACAAAATTGATTGTGTTTGAGGAGTTCAGATACAAATTATTTGGTTTTGCTTTATAGATGGAAGGGACATGATTAGTTGAGTTTGATTTATAGGTGAAAGTTGATGTTCTAACCCCTAAAGCAAGTCTAAGCTCTATAACGAGACTTAAATAGGTATAAGCTATAACTAAAAAATATGGGCATGACATCCCTGGTCTGATCAAGATTCTCACTGAGTTTCGTCTTCTCGGATTCGTCGGTAGCCTTAAACTATTAAGCCAGATAATCAAAGGTCTTCACTATTGCCGTAGTGATGATCGTACTTAACTATTTGGTGGTTAGATCTGCATTCGTCAGTAAAGAAGTTGCATGTTCGGTAAAAAATCTGAACATTATTTCTGATTCATGACTTCCAATTCATATTGAAATTTAATGGATATGCTGCATGTTCTGTAAAAAAAAAATTATTATATATGGAGCTTAAATCTGTTATAATTGTTTATTTTAATCCTTTAATTTGACTGCATGAAAATTCTTGTAGCATATCTGGGAGACATTTAGACATGAAGCATATGTATACCTATGTATCATGTAAGAGTTCATTTTGATAGGGGGGAAAAAACATTATTCTACATAATTCTTACGTAATTATATTTCTAACCCCCACTCATACCAGCATGCACAGCTCTAAATTCTTATGTAATTACATTTCCAACACCTAAGCACTCAAAGCTACATTCATAAAAAAATTACTTGCATTCTACATTGTTTTAACGTAATTTCATTTCTAACACCTAGACACTCCAACCTGCATGCATTCCACTCAAACCTGCATGCACACCACTCAATTCTTATATAATTACATTTCTAACACCTAAAGACTCTAACCTACGTGCATTTCACTCAGACCTGCATGCACATCACTCATTTCTTAAGTAATTGCATTCCTAATATCTAAACATTTAAGCTGCATACCTACCACGTAATTCTAACGAATTTACATATCTAACACTTGTATTTTAGTTACATACATGCCATTTTACACGTCACTAAACTATTGTGTATTTCCATACTTAACAACTGGATATATTGGGTCGGCTACATGATTTCTCCATTTACAACAACAAGAAATTTTTATTCCACTATATTGGGTCGGCTACATGATTCCTTTTTCTCCAATGTGTCGTATTGAGTGTCATATATTCATTTAATTCTAATAAATTTAGGTCAATTTTTATCAACTTATGTCTTTTTAGGTCTACCTCTACCTTTCTTAACATAAGTCGAAGCTAAAACTTATACTTTCCTAACCGGATCATCAGATGGTCGACGTTTAATGTGACCAAACCATCTAAAACGACTTTACCTTTCATGGATACATTCATTTTGCATTTTGTCTCTAATTGTCACTTAAGCATTTTCATCTCAGCAACTCTTTTCTTGTTTTTATGCTTCTTTTTTAAAGGCCAACATTCTACGTCATAAAATATTGCAGGTCTCACCACCATCTTATAAATTTTACCTATAAGTCTAAGCAATATTTTTCTATCACACAATAGGCACGATACATTCCTCCACTTCAACCATCCAACTTGAATTCTACTAATAACATCCCCATCTATATCACCATTTACTTTGAACAATAGACCCGAGATATCAAAATCGCGCACTCGTTTTAATGATTTGATCACGCATTGTTAGAACTCTACCACTAGATTTACTACTGCTAAAATTCCATTTCATGTATTCAGCTTTAGATCTACTCAAACGAAGGCCTCTAGACTCTACTGCAGACCTCCATAATTGATGTTTTTTCTGAACTCTTTCTCTAGTCTTATCCACAAGAAGGATGTTATCAGCGAAAAACATACACCAAGGTACATCCTCCTATAAATGTCTAGTTTGAGCATCCAAAACAAAAGAAAAAAGATATGGGCTGATGTAATCCAACTGAATAATGAAAATACTTGGTCAATCTTCTTTCTGTTCAAACACAATATTGCTAGAAACTAATAGATCTAGGAAAATTCAAAATACCCGATTCACCTATTAAACAAAAATTAAGAAACCTAAACAAATCAAAGTTAAAAGATTAAATATAAGAAAACAAACTAAAATTCACCAACTTGAATAATTTGAAACCACACTTAGGTAGATAAACTATAAACCCTAAGTTAGTCAACATAGAAATAAAACCAAGATCCATACACTTCTAGATTAGTCTAGTTCAGAAGTCTAGATTATGTTGCTAGGTAACTTTAGTTTGCTTTTAAGGAGTGAGATCTATAAAACCCCAAAGCCTGTAAACCTCTTTTATTATGCAAGTGTCATAGGATGAAGTAACTCACAGTTACTGAAGATTGCACCTCTAACCTCCAAATGGTTAAGTATGACTATACTTGCCATCGCTATGGTAATAGTGAAAATCTCTGATATCTTATTGGTTACTAGTTTTAAGGCTATCAATGAACTCAGTATGATGAAATATCGTGAAAATTTTGATTGGGGACGCCATACCCAATTTTTGGGTTTATTTATACCTATTTAATTCTCCATAGGACTTCAACTTCCTTATAAAAATCAAATCCAACTGATAATGTCCTTTCCATCTGAAAGCAAAACCATTTAATTTTTATTAGAACTTCTCAAAGACAATTAATTTTATTCGAACTCCTCAAAACCAACCTATTCTTTTAAAACTCAAACTCTTTTGATCCTATTCAATTAAGCTTCTAACCTCATCCCATCTCTACCAAATCTAATTCTCTCATAGGGTTGATTGATCCCTTTCACCGGGCCTTTCCACGAGACATCGTCGCTAGATTGTAAGTAACAATTTTTCTAATAAATTGTGCAATTTTAACTTCAATTAACATTGAATACCCCTTGCCAAAATGTTAGAATTGGTTGGAAGGCTCACTGGGCTCCTTGGTATTTGAACACTCTTTGCCCTTCTGCCCTTGAATATCATAAAATCCCTTTAAATTTTGAACATGTCCCTTTTGAAGCTCGCGAAACGCCAATCATAAATAAGACTATTACTTTAAATCGAGATTTTTCTCGTTAGTTCACCATTCGGATGTAATCAACTAAAGGGTCTTGCCTCATTTGGGATACTAGATCCCAAAATTAAAATAAATCCTATCCCTTCTGGTTTGGGGAAAAATTGGTTCGTAGCTCCACGGAGTAGTGAAACAATCACTTCGGGATTGGATCCATCGTATGGTAGTATTCTCGTCCCTAGGAAAGATATATTGACTTGATGTCATATATGATAACGAGTAAGAAATTTAAAAATTATTGTGTGGGGTCCTCCCAAACAAGCATCGACAATGAAAACAAGGATCAGTTCACTATGAATTTTGAATCTGATAGAATATTCAAATTTTATGAATGTTTACATAGACTCTAATTTTTATTCTGGTCCCTAGCAAAGTTGTACTATGACTTGATGTCGTATTCAATCACCAGTGAGAAATTTTAAAATTATTGTGTGGGGTTCACGAAAACATGCATCGACAATAAAAGCAAGGATAAGTTCACTATGGGTTTTGAATCTCATAGAATATTTAAATTTTATGATTGTTTACCTAGACTCACATTTCTATTTTCTATTTTATATCAATATTTAAGATTAGGATTTGTGATTTTGATCTTTATTATAATAAACTAAATCAATGTATTAACGTTTTATATCATATTTATGATTATTTTTTTATTTTATGAGGTCATTTTCTTTTAGAGTCTTACACCTAGTCTCGCTGGTACAAAAACGCCTCGATTCCCGATTTCATCTTTTTAAACTTCAGTAATAATACAAGTTGGCCATATTTTCTAACATATTTCTGTATGAAATTTTTGTTGTTAGAAGTAGATGAATTGGATGTTCCTCTTATTGTTGAAACGATGATGTCTCTATGCTCGTATTATACTTCTTTTCTTCTTGATTTTGTAGGCTTTAGAAGTTATTAAAGAGCTTCAAGAACATTTTCCAATAAAAAGAGCACCTATGAGATTGCGCCTTATTGTACCAGACATATACCTTTCTAGTCTAATGGAAAAGCTTGGAGAGTGGAATGCGAATATCATCTTAAAGAATGCATCAGGTGGCATGCCAACAATTGTAAGTTTTTAAATTTGCAAATTAAATTGAATGAGCGCACAAATTAAGGATTGTACTTGTTATGACCATTTAAGATATTTTATGCCCCGTTCTTCACTTTTATTTTTTGTTATGATTTTTTAATCATTCACTGGTAAGGTTTGAGTTTGATATTAGGGCTCTGCTCTATTAGTAGTCATTCCTACATTAGGTTGTTCCTTATTGAATGGTAGAAGGTCCTATGGAGTTGTGTCCACTTCATCAGTTGTTTATTTTAATTCACTTTTTCATTTATTTCCAGCTTACCTTATTATTGAATTATCTATTTATTTTATTTTTTTCACTTCATGTCAAATCATCATTTTAGTACTTAAAATGTTACTTTTTGCTCTCTTACCTCAAATTTGATTTTAGTGCAAATTTCTTATTCAATGACATTTGATTTTCTTTTATCATGTTTTCCATTTCAAATTTAAGGCATTTTTATTGCATGGGCTTTTTTTCTTTTGCTTTTTAATGGCTTTAGTTCTAAGTTGCTATCATTTTAGTACATAACACTTTATGTGTTGCTTTTTGCTTTAATTTTGATTTTGATGTAGACTGTACAACAGTGACATTTGATTTCTTTCCTATTCATTTTAAAATTAAAATATATTTCCTGCACGGACTGTCTTTTGTTTGCTTTTCCATGGCCTTCTCCTTATCATGTTCCCATAAGTTTCGATCACTTCTTAAGTTGACAAATCCCTAGCTTCACTCACACATAGGTCTCTCCGCTCATCTAGTATCCAGGTTAATGCAACAAAAATTGTTCCTTCCATGGGAAAGGTTGCACCCATTTGGCAGCCCAAAAAGGTCATTTGGAAGCCCAAAAAGGGTCTAGGAGATTCCTACAATTATATTATCCCTTCAATGAAGTCATCATTTTAACACATAAAACTTTCCTTTTTGTTGTTCTACTTCAAATTTGGCTTCAATGCAGAGCCCACAACGGCAATTGATTTTCTTCTTTATGTTTTCCATTTTAAATTTTTAATATATTTGTTAAAATGGCCTTTTTTATTGTTTTTCCATAGCCTTCTTCCTTTCACCTTGTCACAATCATTTCTCATGTTGATGTTTCCCTAATTTTGTTCACACATTGGTTTTCCACCCATCCAACCACCCTTATCAGAGCAATATAAATGATTCATTCAATGGGAAAGATTAGGACCATTAAGCCGACTCCACTTATGTTGTTCTCCCTGGTGGAGAATTGCTATTGAGCTATAGCCCGGCATTTGTGACTTGTTACAAACAGACATGAAGGATTGGATACTTCCAATCAGATATTGCTAGGCAGCCATGCTGTAATCCATTACTCTCTGTCCTTGTCCGCTTCACTAGTTACTTGTTGTAGTGTGGTCATCTTTCGACAAATCTACTTAACCAACTTAGCTTAACTCGGCCCTAATTCATCCCATCCCATTAGAGTAGTCTGGCAAGTTGGATCTAATACGTCAACATTATTCTTTGTATAACTGTGCAAACAAAACCTGGAGGCTTAAGTGTTTTGTATAGAATACAAACAATACATACTTAAAAAGTTCAAATAAAAGACTGTACGGCTTAATAATAAATTGTATAAACTCAACTATCGCTTGTTCATACAGAGTGTGACTGACAAGACCCTAAGGATAATCTACCCGTAAGAGTATCTTGATTATTTTCTAAAGATTGACTTAGCAAACTAAGGCTGCTCACTCCAGCTGATCAAAAACATGGTCTGATTGGTCTCCCATGTGCAAATTAGAAATGGTTTTGCTGATTCAGATAGATTTTGGGAACGCTTGTGTTGAAAATTAGATAGGAATGAGGCTGAAAGGGGACACATTACTCCTCCAAGCAAAATCAACAAAAATTCCATCTCAATTAAATGTAAGAGGGCCTCACTAAGCTTGCAAGGAACATGTGCTGTCAGAGCACCTTATATGTTATCCTTGAAGAAAAAAAATCACATGGGATATTAAAAAATTAAATTCACGATCCGTATGTGCGGTGAAAAATATATTGTATCTTTAACTCATTTATGGAAAAAGTATCATTGATCATACATACACTTTTATCATAGCAATAGCATATTTGTTAGGGGTGCAAAAATTGATATGACAAGCCAACATGACTCGAAAAAATCTGGGTTAGGGTTGACCTGAATATTTTTCGAGCTGGATTCGGGTCGAAGAATTCAACCCATTTATTATTCGGGGCGGGTTCGGGTTGAACCCAAAAACCCAAATATAACCCAAATAAGCACGAAAATTTGGGTCGCGTTTGGGTTAGCAGGTCAAGCTCAAATTTGGGTCTTAGTTTTCGACCCATTTTTTTTTCGGGTCGGGCTCGGGTTGACCCTATTAGGGTCGAATCATTTTTGGGTCGTACCCGAACCCGACTTGCTGCCCGAATTAACACCCCTAATATTTGCAATGGCTACCACACACTATTATGCAAAGGTCACTATGGAACACTATTGCATAATGCTTGAGCGTGGGGCACGACATTTTAAATGTGTTGTGTGTTGCAAAATATTTAAAAATTATGAGATATATATTTAAAATATTTAGAAATTATGAGATATTTATGAAGGGTGGTGGGGGAGGTCGAGATACTTGTGACAATCATCAATGAGGAAATTACCCTCCTAAAGTTCAGATCAAGCATAGAGAATACTTACATGCAATATCTCTTAAGAAAGAACAAGTAGAAACATTTCAGGCACAAACTTCATCAAAGCCTCAAACTTTATAAAAATTATTAACTTCTTTCACACTCGAATCTTCTTATATTATTAAGAAGCTCAAGTAAAATAGTTTGGAAATTAATCCCAAAGATAGCATATTAAGACTACATTGTTTTTAACAGAAAGATATTTGGGAAAGACAACTTTCTCTGATGAATCCCATCTCATTATAGAAGTCTATGAAAAAATATTAATTTAACTAAAATTTATAGATATACATCATAGCCTCGATAAAACAAATCAAAATATTTTGTATAACAAATGTGTTTTATAAAATATTATCCATCATCGTAATTGGAAAGTTAATCCATATCAATATAGGACAATTTTTCTATCATTTAATCCATAACATCACATTTTTATCATATACTGGAATTATATAAATGCTATGATGAAAACATTCTTTTTAGCGAATTCCAAATCAAAACACCCTTGGATGTTTATTTTAAATAATGAAATTTTTAAATAAAGGAATTTTTGCCTTGTTCTACAAATGGTGAAATTATTTTGGTGTTAAACTAGATATTATGTCTAACAAAATAAAATATAAGTATGATATTGGGTTGATTTATACCTAAATTTAAAAAAAAAATGTCAAAAATGAGGATTTGGCTGAAGGTAGACTTTAATTCATTTTTTTATTGACTTTCATTTCTTTATTGACTGTCAAATTTCTTGGATCTGGTCTTGGAGAATTTGTCGAGAAAAAGACCAATTTAACTTGTTATGTCTACAACAATAATTATTAATAAAATGGTGACATCAAATTAATGAGGAAGATAAACTTAAACAGATTAATGATATTCTTAAAAAATATGAACTCACGCAAATCTCTGCAACCAATTTTATCTAGACTTATTTTGCAGAGATATCTGAGGGATTTAAGCATAAATATTCTCATGAATCAAAGGATCAAATTAAAAAGAGAATGATTGCAAGTTGTGATAAATAATTTATAAAAATCTTCCAAATACTGTTCATCTAAAAAAATGACGACGAATCCATGTGAGACTCAGAAATTTGGGCAAATGAAGGGCTATCCCAAATTATTGCTCATAGTCCAAAAAATCAAATGTCAAAATTCAATGATGAAGGAACGTAATAACAGACAACTGACGCCTATTGTTAGTACTTGTGAGTCCTAGCCACCATTTAATGCTTAATATGGTGTCATTTTTTCATTGAAAGTCTATTCTCTCCACTTATAACAGTGTTGATGAAAATTTCTTTCCACTTTTACTCATTTTTATTTGCTAATAATAACAGGTTACTGTTATTTACTATTTTCAGTTTACTTTTCAGATGTGTTATTTTTTAGGCATCCACTTTATGTTGTACTGTATAATTTTGAGTTCTACCCTTAGCTAAAAAGAATGGGCTTGTATTGTTTGTAACTGTGCGAATTTCTTAAAAGTTAGATGGTGTAAAGTTTGTAAGCCTTTGAGCTAAGTCTGAGATCTATAAGTATTTATTAATAATATATTATGGTTTCAGACCCATATTAGCTTTTGGCTAAAAGTATAATAAAAAGCTTTTAGAAATGAATAGTATAATACTCTGGTTAGAGGTAGTTATGTTATTTCTGATAAAAATAAAGTTGAGTTAGATTTGTGATGAATTTTATAAATCCTTGGCTGGTTATTTGAGACATATTCTATAACTCTCTTTAAACTATTTTGTTTTAAGATAAATAAATATTGTTTTGATATATAAGAAATATTTTGAACTAACCAATTGGATGATCGTTAGTCCCTTTCTTGAGTTTTTGGACCGGAAGTCCTTGTATTGCAGCAAGTTTAATTTCAAAGTACTTTTCTATTATTCAATTGATTATACTTGCTTACTTTACTATAAAATCTTAAATTGCATCTACTCAAATTATTATACTAATTTATCTATGAGAGTCCTTATATTAGATGCATGGCATGAAGTTTTAGTAGTAAATCTAGTTCTTCAATTTTAAATTCTGTTTTGAGCAGAACGTACTCAATGAGAAAACATCATCTAAAAAATGCTGAACTATCAGAATATTCTCTTAATGAAGAGGATTTGAATAATTAAACAGTTACCAAAGTTAAAATTTTACTATATAAAATATACACATTTGATTTCAAAGGAAAAAAAAAATATTAAAACTGTTAAACAATCAATCTCTATAAATGAAAATGAAAAAAATAATTTATCTTATAAATCTTGAATATTTGCAAGAATATAAATATCTTCATATTGGTTTAATCGAGATTGG